GACCTAGGGGAGGCCTAGCAGGGAGAGTGCTTAGCTGGATTACTGGTGTCGGGAGGGCGACTGCTTAGCTGGGACACCGGAGGGAAGTCGGGGAGGGAAGTCTTGCGTGACTCTCCTCCCGTGAGAGGGACTGGGCTGTGGTGGACCTCCTCCTCCGATCCCTGTGTGTCTCTCTCTCCCCGACTCTGTCTCTCTGACTCCCTCTCGCTGCTCCCCTGAGGGAGGGCTACAAGTGGGACTGGAGACGTAGTTGCTGGCCCTTCTTGGTTACAAGACACACACTCTCTCTCTGTCTTGAAGAAGGGTTACGACGTCCTATATATTGGGAGACGTCAGGTTGAGCTGATCGGGGACGGCGGCGAAGGGTCTCCTTACATTTGACCTCGCTAATGTAGGGTCAGGTCTGGACTTTTTCTGAGACTATAAGATGTTGTATATTCTGGAAAAATCTTCAGATGAATGCTTTTCTGTTAACATCGTTGGTGGGGCCGTGTGACATGAGAGGCTCTGGTTGATTTGTGGCTCCTTGAGTGGCCGCGAGGTTTACCCTTACACTTGACCCCCCTAATGTCGGGTCAGGTCTGGACTGTTTCTGAGATGCAAGCTGTGGTCTGACAACCCATCACTACACCTCCCACCAAGACCAAAGCTTTCATGCTCAGAGAACTGATGACACATTTAAAGTAGACAGTAACATCATGTGCAGTATCTAATATAGTCCCTGAGGCGATAATGCATCCTTACAATTTACGAATAATAACCCTAGAGATGTATGTTTTTCTACTGGCATAGTTTGATCTGACAAAGCTTAATATACCTCCCGCCAAGATTAAAGCTTCTATGACAGGAGAAAAAAAAATACATACACAGTAAGTGAACATAGAGTGATCAAAAGATCCTTCATATCTAGCATAGTGTCAGAGGCAAACTTGCAAATCACATTCTACAAACAATAACAGGTGTTACATTGCCTAACCAGGCCGTGTCAAAATAATAATTCGTCCCACTCAGTAGTATGTCTACAACATTGCATTTGGTAATACAAAACATTGATCAAATGAACTCATAGAAAAAGTGACTAATCTTTAAAAAAAACATTCTTTGTAGTACATGTTAACAAAAATCAGAGAATTAAATACTTCAAAATACACAAAAAATGCTCCTACTTCACATGTTAGGGTGTTATATCTTTTTATTACACATCAACAACATCAACAACATCAGTACATTTGTTGGGTCCAGCATGGCTCACGTCCTCTGTCCAGCTGGTATCTAAAAATAGGGAATGCCGGCAGCACAACAGCAGTAGTCGGTTGGTCCTTCTGATCATCCACCTTTTCATCGTCGACTTTCTTCTGATGTCAGCACAGCACGTCTTCTGTCTTCTTTCTTCACATAGCACGTTTTTCTTTCTTCAATACCGCACTTTGTAGGTCTTGTCACCACATCATCTGACTTCTTCTCACTTCCTCCTGGTTTCTATAATATTCCAGATGATTTTTCTGTTCATCTGCGTTTCCTTACGTTTAGAGCATTTTCATATTCCAGATGAATTTCTGTTCATCTGCGTTTCTTTATACATCTTCATTTTCATATTCCAGACGATTTTTCTGTTCATCTGCGTTTCTTTATACATCTTCATTTTCATATTCCAGACGAATTTTTCTGCTCATCTGCGTTTCTTTATTCATCTTCATTTTCATATTCCAGACGAATTTTTCTGCTCATCTGCGTTTCTTCTCTGCAACATATCTTTCCGTCAGTCCGGCCGGGGGTAGCCGGTCACACTGGGGGGGATGCCATCGCTCAGGACGACGTGTGGGGCAGTCTCTGTAGTCCTGCTTTCGCCCTCTGTATACGAGTATTGGCTGGATCCTTGACCGTCCTGTCCCACGCCCCCACAGCGGAAATCCCCTCCCTGGTTCAGCTTGCCTGGGTTTTGATGTGTGGGCTGCATTCCACACGCCTTAACTTCCTAAAGTAGAAAAATATAAAATCTTCTTAATCCTAGACCAGGTAGGACTTGAAAGAAGTGGAGTAGTGTGTGGTGGGTGTGGTGCCGCATTCATCACGCTGCTTCTTCTCTGCTTATATGTGCTGTGGTTGGATTCGGGTTAGCCATGGGGCGGTACTGTGTGTGACATTTGACAGAAACAATCCGAAAGGGATGATGGATTAGTTGGAAGTGTATCCGTAAAGAAAAACAAATATTTACTTTATACGTTACGTCAATGTTTGGCAACTATGGTTTCTGTCACGACAATATTCTCGTTAGGCTGGGTCGGGGAGTGAAGCTCTGCTCACTACACTGATTAATCAGAGATATGGTGAAGAGCAACAGTAAGAGATCCGCCACAGACGCATTCATGAAAATCTTCAACTGTCGGTCATTTATAAGACAAGCAAGCCTTGTATATGATCTCTTGCTTTCAGCAAACTTCCATATTATATTACTTATATCAAGAAGAAGGGATACCTACATTATGACAAGAATAAAGCTGTAAAGTTTGTCTTTCTCTGGTATACAGGAATATTTAGCATCAGGAGTTTTTTTTTTAGTTTAACAAATTTATTGACAAAGCTTGGATTACAGCAGGAGCGATGATCACTAGATCTGTGACCACTTTGGCTAAGCCAGAACAATAGGTCCTGAGGTGCCAGAAGAATCCTTCTGCTGTCACAGTCTCCACGAGAGCCTCAAGTTCCGTGGAAATATCTTCCATTGCAGCATTCCCATTCCTTCCAACGTGTTTGGTAGCAGTCCACACAAAGAAAAACACGTAGAAGATAGAAAGCAGAAAGACAACATACCGAGATCATTTTTTTTAACTTTTCTCCTCCTCCGAAATCTTGGGTAACCCTGGCTGTGGTTCCCAAGCTATAGGTGTATCTGTGACAGAGCTTCTTTTTTTTTTTTTGCATTCTTGAACCATTTCTTCCCTCTTGATGACCCCGTAGATCTTTCCAGGAATAAGGAAACCCACCGCACGGCTTTAGAAACTTCAGGCACGCATAGAACATCCTGTAATTTTATAATTTCTGGCGCTTTTTTTTTTTTTACTTCCAGCACACCATTGTCGCTTTAGGGTGTACGTGATCTTCTCCTGATATGCAAATTTAAATCCATTTGATTTATATAACGTATCTCTTATCAATAGGAGCCAGCATTGATGGTTATCAGGAACTGTTCGAGGAAAAGTTAGTAATACTGTAGTTGAATGGTGAGTTAAACGTGAGGGTTATTAGGTCCAGGCTCCACCGTCACCACCACCACACACCTACAACACAGTCAGGCTCACAACTTAACGTTCTGCTGTATTTATTTACTTCCTTGATCGTTTGGTGAACACTGTCCACTATGTTGACCGACACGACTTGATGAACCTGCCACACTGTTCTTGCTGTCAGTAACCTACAGTGTGCTGAAAACCACATTTTCCTTTGTTTATTATCGATTATTTATGATTACTACTGTATATTGGAAGATGTTCCGAGTACATCCAAGTTAAATGCTCTTTTATTGTATTTCTTTAAGTATTGTACAGTGTACATCGTCTTAATGCTGCTACTTCGTCAAAGTACCATCATCTAAAAACCTACTGTATTTTAGCATCACATTATCTTTAAGTAAACCTACAACTCCAAAATATTATACACTGATCTCCCCTCCCTTTTCTTTTCCAGGTGCCGCGCGAAGCACGTGCCCTAAGGTTATGAGTTCTAAAAGGGTTGTACTGTTTATTGGCTTTAATTTGAAAATTTTCTTGCTTATTTATCTCATGTACCTTTTGAGTTAGGAAGCTGAAATTTTAATATAAAAATGACCAAGCGTTAGGGCAAATGATTTGGAACGAACCACTATATGTACTGCAAATATTTTCAGGCAAAACTTCACAAGAGAAACATAGAGTAATACGGCTAACAAACGCTTTCGCTACCGAACTCTCCACTATGCTGTTGTTGAATACTATGAGTATACAGACAACGCCCGCAAGTCTTGCCTAATATGTTGCATTGTCGTTCCTTCTGCCAATTACTGAGCAGTGAAACTTCTACTTCACTGTTAAGTGACGTCTTTGATCATTTATGATTTTCCTTTGAGGATTATACCATGTGCCTCTCATCACAATCACTCCAAACAAATTTTCTTCCAAGGAGGTACTACCGTCTGGGAAGATATTGGAAACATAATGTGTTGTCTAATGGTAGACCCTGCTGCCTTTTGGCATCACGAAAATTGTGATCAAATCCCAGGTTGCTCATCTGTCTTTCTGCCTCATTTACACACAATTGCAGGATCTCACTTGTTTCTCTTACTTTGACAACACAACATACATATAGCATTTCTCTTTTTTTTCATAATTTTTGTATTACTTCATAGTTCTTTATCAGTATTATTATTATTATTATTATTATTATTATTATTATTATTATTATTATTATTATTATTATTATTATTATTATTATTATTATTATTATTATTATTATTATTATTATTATTATTATTACAGTGTCATTATTATTATTGTTATCATTATTATTTTATTTTACTTTTTATTATAAATTTTATTCACTATGAATAATTATTACATTTTCGCCCCCCTGGCCCCGATGTGGGTCAGTGACCTGTGCCCGGGTGGGCTAATCCCCATAAAAAAAAATAAAAATAAAATAAAATATGTAAACATACACTTTGTGCCCTGTTGGTTTACTTTTTCAGAAGCAGCGTTTAGTTATCTATTGATATTTAGAAGAAAGTTACTTGTTCTATCATCCAGAAATTTTGAAGTTTGTATTATTGCTAATAGTTACTAGAAAACATGATAAGATGATAGCCATCGTTCATTGACGGGTAATAAGAAGATTTGTGCATGATATCGCCATATCCCTTTCGATCAATTGAGAGGTATAGATGCTATTAATATTCAAGATTGGCAATTAAGATGTACAAAACAAATATTTTATATGTCAGCCATTAGACAGGGTGAATGAAACTCACATTAACATGGAAATGTATTTACAGACGTATTTCACATGAGACAAAAGCTAACCTAACAATACACAACGTCATAGAAATCTGCCAAGGAGCAGTCGAGATAAAAAAACACTAGCTAGTACAAACAACGGCATGGAAGCTTATTCACTCTTGGTCACGAAGTGGGAATTTGGAGACCATCAGATTAACATATTTTGTATAAGAAATGGAAGATCATAGTTTGTTAGAAAAGTAAGGAAGTAACTAAAAATTAATACCTCTCTTTAATTTCATTATGAGGATCTAGAAAGGATATTCGATGACACATTTAAGAAAGGTCTACTTATCCTTGCTCCGTATTATGTAAAATAACTAAAGATAGTTAAATTCTATAAGGAACGAAACCTTTTACCTTTTATAAATTTAATATAAAAATGAGGTTATGTGTAATTGTTAGCATTTAAATAAACAACTGAAAAATTGTCTTTTCCTGGACCCCCCCCACAAATTTCCACATTTAATACTGGAAACTTACACGAACTAATAAAAAACATTCATGACTACAGTATTATTACATTACTCATCACTAGTAGTTACAATGCGTAACTAAACAAGACGTCATAACTGGTATGTACTACACCAACAGGTTGTTTGGAACAATGAAAACATAATTATATTTCTTCGGAGAGCACAACACAAAAGATCTTGTTTTAGGACAGCCGCACTCATAACAGGGATTATCTCTGTCATCAGACGGGTAGAGACAAGAGTGTTTGTGTTGAAGTGGAGCTACAGCAGATGTGTGAGTGTTGAGGACTCGTGATTACTGACAGTACAATATCTATCTATGAGTGGTTTTGAAAAGGTTAAGTAAATTCCACGATTCAGTCTTATTGTGAATATTAATCAGAGAGTTATTGAAAGTAAATCGCTCCTGGAAATATTTATTCTCCTTACATTTTTTTGTGGCTGTCAGTTGAAAAATGTTTTGACTTTCTGGATGATTAGATTTTAAGTTATTATCAAAACGTTGCATGGTGCTCATTTCTTAAAGTACAAAATCATATCGCTAAAATATCTAAGTCTTATGTTCCATCAAATTCTTTAAAGCAAAATTATATTAATTTCAGAGATCTCTGAGTCAACTGCACCAAGTAATTTTTACATTTTTAAATTTCGGCTAAACATTAGCATGGAAATACAGGTGTTTCGTTTGTATCTGATTCACACAAACAATGTTTCCTCTCGTCTATGTCCCCCGATCTCTTATCTATCTCTTGTTATGTTATCTAGTTAACTGGATAAATGTTACACTTTAAAAAATAAATTTGCCATAAGCCAAAGCTTTGTGTGTTATTATTAACAATGACTTTCCTACTGACTTGCGTCACTAGGCGCCTCAAACACTCACAAAGAAGTACTTTCTGATCGTACTAGATATAATAATAATAATAATAATAATAATAATAATAATAATAATAATAATAATAATAATAATAATAATAATAATAATAATAATAATAATAATAATAATATTATTATTATTATTATATTATTATTATTATTATTAATATTATTATTATTATTATTAAAACAGTAAGAATAATCATTATTTTTACCATAAAACGACCATCGTTTATCGAACAGTCACAAGGAAAGTTCAAGATAAGTTCATCAGTTTAATAATATTAATATAAAGCTAACAACAAAGGCCCAGTTATGAATAAAGAAGATATGCAAGAGAGCGTTACACTGGCTTCTCATTCACACACTCTTAATATGACTAGTTACCAGCAAGTGTCCAGTTAAGTGCGTTTGTGTCGTGTAAGTGTGTACACTCAGCAGTTATCGTAAATTAGGTATTTGGTTTTTTAAAGAATTCCTCCTCTTACACTAGTCAGGAACAATGACTGTTATATAACCAAATATTTGAATTACAAATCTTTGGGGCACTGAAATAAAACTATTCAAATATTTGGGTACATACTTCTCCACAATTAATAGGTATTCTAAGACATTAGCATGGAGAGGTTAGTGGAAATTAAGCAAATATTGATAGAAAATAAAGAAAATATATTAATATTTACCTACGTGTAAAGTTAGGAGCTAAACATGGAATAGGTGAGTTTAGTAGACAAATGATAAGAGATTTACATTCAATAAATAATATATTTTTGCATATGAGTTACAGTGTAAACCTTATTCGCTGTCATTCATTCCTAAATGGGTTATGTTATGTTTAAATTCACGCAGATCTTCACTCGGCAAAACTATGAGTATACAGTAGTGCAGTTAACTAAGCTTCAATAATATAACTTAAATCTCTTAAACTAAACTTACAAGTATAAACTATACTATTACTCGATGCCTGGGCAGTGCACACAGGAAGAACAGTTTGATAACCCACAAACTGGCCTTCTTTATGACATAAATAGAGATATGTTTAAATAAAGACAAGGATATGTCTTGACGATATGATGCCCCCACAGATGGGGCAACTAGATGAAATGTATCCAGAAGTTATAATGTTTACAATAAGTCATAATGTCTGGATTTAAGGAAGTATATTATCAAGCCTTGGTAAAGTGAATGATGAAGTTCGCTCTTAATTATAAGAACACACACATATCTACATCTTACACACAGGGAGGTGACACCACGTGAAAATGTTTATTAATTATTATACAGGTATTACTGTTTTTTTCCACTGACATATAGATGAAACTCCCAAAGCTACGAAATGCAGATTAACTAGAGGTAAGTTGGCTCGCGATCCACGCTTGTCATTACAAAATCTCGAGACAATCATCTAACACTCAGTAGATATTAAAATGGTGGTCCATTTGTCATGATCTAACTCCCTACAACTAACACTGTAAAAAATTACTGTGAATATTACAGTGGTTCACTGTAAAAAATATACGGTTGGCCACCTTATTTGTTTTACGGTGATTTTCTGTTAGTTCAGCGTTTTACAGTGACACACCGTCGTCGTCTGCTATGACATTTACGGACGCACTTTAAATTTTACCATGGAACACTGACAACTGGGATGCCAGTATTCCACCGTAAAATTTACTGTACATTTTTTACAGTGTACAACAACATCATGGAAGAATATTCCATACGCAAAATAATGAAACAATTTTGACATTGAGGATTTAACATAAAGAGTCCAAATGAAATAAATTTAATTATTTTCCAAGTGTTAAAGAACCTACCGATATTTTTCCTTGTCATTCCCAAAACTTTTCAGAATGGTTCTGAAACAATTTGAAAATAATTCATACTTTTAGATTGTGTAGAAACCTCCATAAAAAGTAAACCAGCAAATTAATTTTGTTTTATCAATGATACACATGTAAACATCTTTAGCTTACAGTACAACTGGGATACAACGTATAGGAATTGATTGATAAATTGTACAAGAATTACGCAGTGAGTACTGAGCACCATTTAAGGGCACCTTCTACTTGCATTATCATTCTTCACATAATGGCTTGTCACTTTAACTTCGTATAGGAAAATACAAATATAGTAGCCAGGTTTAAGAGACACGGTCCATCATGTATTGTTTACACTACCTCAAGTGTTACCTCACACAACGTCTGTGTTTCATAAACTTCCTACCCACTCACTTTCTTCCCAACACTAAGAATTACAACGTATTAATATATACATATAAAATAATTAGCATGGCTAAAACGTATCATACATTCATGGGTAAGTGTCAGAGAAGGAACGTTTTCACCTATATTCTAAAGACATACAGATTAAGATTTCTCATCTTTACTCAAAATACATAAGAAATGTGTGCTACAATTGGAAGATGAGACCATTCAACTTAAAACTAAATTGTCTTCACAATTTTAGTCTCCATGAAAAACTTATCCACTGGTCTAGTAATCAAAATCTCTACTCAGAGCCTTAAGCACCTCCTGGTACTGCTGGCTGGTCAGTTCTTGCTCCCTGGACCCAGCGTGTCGCCTCCTTCGGTAGCGTGTCTGGCTGGTGGCCTCAATGCACAGCACGGCGAAGGAGTTGTGACAGCTCATACGCTCTTGCCCAAGGAGCCGCTTCTTCAGCAGGGAAGAGGCCAGGCCAACTGTTTCTTGAGAGTTGCTGTTCCAAGCATCACAATAGGTGGACAGAGATCTTTCACCTTCCACGTCAGAGCCATGCCATACATACTTCTGAGGCCTATAGGAGATTAATATGTTATTTGGGTGTGATGCTAAAACTCAAGTCCTTCTTAAAAGAGTGATGAGAATATTAATGGTCACATTCAGGGTGATTCAGCAAAAAGTACATTAAATTGGAGGATGGAATCCTTGGATAATTCTAAACCACAGTGTCTCTATGGTAAAATGTCAGATTCTGCATAGTTTCCATGTTACAATACATTAAAGATGTTGTATTAATGAGAGTGAATTTGATATGAAACCCCCATAGGTTTTTGTAATCATTTATTCACAGATATCTTATGTACAGCAGTACAGCATGATACAGTTGGCTAACACAGGTGCAATGAGACAGGGACCGTGTACGACCTAATGAGATAAAGGCAGTTACAGGGGGAGAGGTTTCACTTCAAATTCACTCTCATTTATACAACATCTTAAATTTATTGTAAAATGGAAACTATGCAGAATCTGACATTTTACCATAGAGACATTGTGGTTTAGAATTATCCAAGGATTTCATCCTCCAATTTAATGTACTTTTTGCTGAATCACCCTGTATAGGTGGAACGAGTCTACAAACTGAAAAAAATTTGTAACTATGTGTTTTGTATCACAACAGTTGTTTTATAAGAATATGTTCCTTCAAAGTTTAGATGGAGCACTATAGTCACACACACCCAGAGGTCCCAGGTTCGATTCCTGACTAGTGAAGTATTGTTTGCATATTGAACTCCATGTATATATGGACTGTTGAGATTTATTGATGGCCTCAAGCTTTCTAGCTTGAATAAGCTTTGTGTGAAATACAAAAAGAAAAGATATGCGCTTCGATTGTCCTTATGGTACCTTGGTAGCACTTTCTGTTCCCATACAAAGGTTTTGGGTTCGATTCCTGACTAGTGAGGTATTGTTTGTATATTAAAGTTACATATATAAGTACTGTTGATATATATATATATATAAAATCAACAACCTCACCAGCCAGGACTCGAACCCTCGACCTTATGCGTGTGACCAGGGAATGCTAGCAACCCCACAACAAGGACACCAAAGGTAATCTAGACTTTGTTATATTTCACACAAAGAATGTTCATCGAGTCCTGGCTGGTGAGGTTGTTGATTATATGTTGAAATTTGCGTGCTATGTGGATTAATGAAATATATATATACATATATATATATATATATATATATATATATATATATATATATATATATATATATATATATATATATATATATATATATATATATATATATATATATATATATATATATATATATATATATATATATATATATATATATATATATGCTACAGGGAATTTGTGTAACCAGTGATTTCATGAAATCCCTAAGACTTCTAGTAATTTACATGTAATTACTGTTAGGTTAGGTGAGGTTAGGTAAATACACTCAACTTACTAAAAGTTTCAAGGATTTCATGAAATCACTGGTTACACAAATTCCCCGTAAAAGACACACACACACACATATATATATATATATATATATATATATATATATATATATATATATATATATATATATATATATATATATATATATCTATATATATATATAATCAACACCTCAACCCGCCAGGATTCGAACCCACGGCCCACTAGCCCATGACTGTGACCGGGGAACGCTAATCGCTGGACTCCCAGGATACTAAAAGCAGTCCTAGACTTTGTTATATTTCACACAAAGCCTGTTCAACGAGCTTATGGCGCCGTGAACCTCTAATGGGGACCACCCGTATCACGTAGGTGGTCAGAGTAACGTATTACCAAATCCGGCTTCAAAACACAAGGATCCATATATATCTCATTAGCCCAATAGCACGCGGACTTCTACATACAATCAACACCTCAACCCACCAGGATTCGAACCCATGGCCCACTAGCCCATGACTGTGACCGGGGAACGCTAACCGCTGGACCACCAGGATACTAAAAGCAGTCCTAGACTTTGTTATATTTCACACAAAGCCTGTTCGACGAGCTTATGGCGCCGTGAACCTCTAATGGGGACTACCCGTTCAAGGCGTCATAAGCTCGTTGAACAGGCTTTGTGTGAAATATAACAAAGTCTTGGACTGCTTTTAGTATCCCGGTGGTCCAGCGGTTAGCGTTCCCCGGTCACAGTCATGGGCTAGTGGGCCGTGGGTTCGAATCATGGCGGGTTGAGGTGTTGATTGTATGTAGAAGTCTGCGTGCTATTGGGCTAATGAAATATATATATATATATATATATATATATATTAGTCTTTATAAAAAAAATATAGTACTGTACTTGCTAGCACATGCTGGCAGGGATAATGTATCTTTAAGATATATGCTGGCACAATTAGTGATAATCATTACCATTTTCTGTGTCAGAAAAAATGAATTTTGGAAGCCATATCCAATACAGAGAAAACTTGGACCTGTCGCAGAGAATGTGGCGCTAGTCATTGTACACTAATGTAAGAAATCAGATTATTGGTGTGAGCTGGAGACCTTGGGGACTCGGGGATTACTATTTATCCTTCATCTGTATGTATCTATGTATGTCAGAACTTATTTTGGACAAATGGGGTGCTCTGGATAGCTTCAAACATAGGTTGGATGTATATATGAGCGATAGGGGTTGGGTGTAAACGTGGACTGCCCAGTATGGGCCAATAGGCCCGTTGTTGTTTCCTCCATTCTTATGTTCTTATTTTTTTATGACAAGGGCAAGCCCATCCTAGGTCGAAAATTCATTTTCTGTTTCCAGATAGCTCAGTCCATGCTCTATTAAACTAGACTGACATCATGTGGTGGATTTTCGAATTGATAGGGGGGGGGGGGTAGCCCGAGACATGATGTCAGTCTAGTATTATAGAGCGTAGAGTGAACTATCTGGAAACATAGAAAACTAATTTTTTAACCCATGGTGGCCTCACTTTCTTATGCTGAACGTCTCAAATAATGTGTGGCATTTTGCAGATACAGTACTTGTTGATATCATAACGTAATATTGCGCTTCATCAACTATGGTCTTTAAGCTCGTATTCTAGTGAAGTAAATATATTAATCATCAACAAATTATAAATTAAGAGTTATATATTACAGACAGTAAAGTTAGTAAATTCATATACTTTTTTATTTAACTAAAAATTATGGATTGTTGGCCATTTGGCTTCAGGTTTGATTAAATGTTTTGGCATCAAATTAAAAATGGTGACAAATTGACCATTTATGTACCCCTGATGACTTGGTGCATCTCACACCATTATAATATAATATTTTAGTTTTATCTCGGTTTTTAATTATGTCAAGATCATTTATCTAACTGCCCATACATCAACTACGTACCAGGTTGGGTCGGTCAAGACTTCTTTGCCGTCAAAACTGAAGACACGGGGTTTTTGTGCGAAGACTCCACCTGAGCCTGAGAAGGCCTCGCTCCAAGCGTTGAACAACACCTCGCCCTGTAGGGAAATACAAGTGCTCAGTACATGTGGTAGACAATAAACTGAAAAAATAGCTCCAGAAAATGAAGCATTAAGTAATGTTTGTTTTTAATCTCAACATAGAGTGAATAATATCCATTACAGCATCAAAAGTATAAACTTAATGTATTCAAAGTCGGAAATTTCTCCTGTCCCTTACCTTAAGATTAACAACCGGGAGATCTCTGTCGGAATATCTGACAATGGAATCGAGGTTTTGGACACGGGATGTGAGGAGAGCTCTGAAGGTGCCTTTCAGTCCCGCCCTCCTGGCCTGTCTGTAGCAGGCGTAGTCAGCTCCCCGCACCCCATGCATGTCTCCAGTGAATGGCTCATTCAGCGCTGCTAGCCGTAACTGCATAAAACATAATCTTGTTAAAGAAAAATATTCTCTCCAGGGGATTAATCAATAGCTCATTCTAACTCTTCCTTTATCAACAACTTTGATGCTTCGTTCTCCTCCCCAGACTAGAGCGGCCACATGTATCATCTTTCCCAACACCAAAACCACTTCCCTTCCCCACACGGTCGATGATAATCACTTTAATTCCACAGTTAATGGATACTCCATTTGGGTGTCATGTGTAAACAATTAATTTTCTCTACACAAGCGATCGATTTTTGTGTGCTTCTGTGGAGTTATATTTATGAAAAACAAAATATGCGTGAAATTTACTTACCATATGAGGAAATCCTCGCTGTGGCAGCAGTAGAGAATAAGGAAGGTAAGTAAGGTAAGTACTAGAATTTAATCTATATATATAAAACAAAGAAGTATGTCTGTGCGTTTGTTTGTTTGTATGTCCGCAAGAGAATCTCGGAAACTACTTTACCGATCTGTAGTGATGATGGATGATGTTATATGTAGTGATGATGGATGATGTTATATGTAGTGATGATGGATGGTGTTATATGTAGTGATGATGGGTGGTGTTATATGTAGTGATGATGGATGGTGTTATATGTAGTGATGATGGATGGTGTTATATGTAGTGATGATGGATGATGTTATATGTAGTGATGATGGATGATGTTATAATGTAGTGATGATGGATGATGTTATATGTAAAGATGATGGATGGTGTTATATGTAGTGATGATGGATGATGTTATATGTAGTGATGATGGATGATGTTATATGTAGTGATGATGGATGATGTTATATGTAGTGATGATGGATGGTGTTATATGTAGTGATGATGGATGATGTTATATGTAGTGATGATGGATGGTGTTATATGTAGTGATGATCTATATCTATATAAAACAAAGAAGTCTGTATGTTTGTCTGTGTGTCCGCACAAGAATCTCGGAAACTACTTTACCGATCTGTAGTGATGATGGATGGTGTTATATGTAGTGATGATGGATGGTGTTATATGTAGTGATGGTGGATGATGTTATATATTGAATATGAAAAGTATCCCTCTGTTGTCATTGACAACATGATTAAGAAATGTGAATACTGCAGTGCAAAGAAGTACAAAGGAGAATCTACTCTCATGGGAAAGTACGACTGTCAAATTTGGAAAAACCACCACAACTATTGAAGACTCTTATGCTGGGAACAACTCCAGAGTCAAAACTCTTCTTGGAAAATATACGGAAGTACAAGTCATGCTTGCAGATGACATCCTTTGGAGCTACCAGAGTAATTCGTGAGCACGGATACATGCCCGCATTCAAAGTCCAGGGTCAAGAGTATCACAAAGCAGGATCCCTCTTACCATTGGAAGATGAGCAGGCAAAGTTCCTCCAAATCTACTTCATGGGAGATCATGAAAAGCAGACTACTATCAGGTATGGCAACATTCAAGGTGTCAGACATGACATTGTCCTATCTATCCAAGAAATGCTTCATGAGCGCAACACGTATGTACAGTCATTTAAAAATGCCCTGGAAAACATGCCTTCTGACGAGTACAAAGTCAGGATCAAAGCAGACACCTTAATGCACTACAGTGAGACAATGTGGAGCCTCCCGGAGGGTGGCGTCTTACCGTGGCCTAGCGAAAGAGCCGCCCGGGGGGGCGGCGATTCCGCTAGTTAGTTAATATAAATCAACCTCTATTAGAAAACAAAAATAAATATTCATTCAAAACAACTTTTGAAACACAAATTTTGCATGGGATGGATTTTAAGAGTAACCCTATATTAAATAAATAAAATAACCATTAGAGCAAAATAATTTTAACTGCATATTTTTAAGTAAAGTCACTGTGGTATTGACTGAACGAGGCCAAGAAGCCAACATTATTACTTGGCTATGATAAACACATGTGCAGGATGGACCTGGAATGTGCTTAAGAGTAATCCTATATCAAACCATCTGTTTCCCTACTGTAATTTCCTTTCTTTTAATCACTAACTCATATCTATATTGTCAGTGTTATAACTATAGGATACCAAGCACGACAAACAAAAGAAATAAAAGTTTGAAGGTCGCAAGTTGTCATGCATAACGAATATAAAGAAGTATCTCTTTCCGCAGAAGGTGGTAAACCTATGAAACAGTTTACCAGGGGCTAGATACTCAAAAGGATTATATTTTATAATATTGTATCGCACAATTTCCATATTGCATAAACAGTAGAGCATATGCCTTCCAAGCTACGATAAACCTCATTAAAGGTGTTTTATCAGAGAATACTGCAGAAAGTAAGTTTCATATTTTATTTCAATGGAAATAATATTAAAAGATAAAATCTAATCAGTTAAAAATTATCTTATTATCAGCTGTGTTTGTTTATACTTTTACTGGATTAGCCCACCAGAGCACAGGTCAATGACCCACATCAGGGCCTAGGGGCGAAATAATAAAATAATAATAATAATAATAATAATAATAATAATAATAATAATAATAATAATAATAATGTAATAATAATAATAAATGCAAATTATTAAATTTTTTAATAAATATTAAATAAAAATGTATAATAATAATAATAATAATAATAATAATAATAATAATAATAATAATAATAATAATAATAATAATAATAATAATAATAATAATAATAATAATAATAATAAAAAAATAAAAAAATTATCAATATTTAGAAACGATATATGTATGTTGTGTTGTCAAAGTAGGGGAAACAATTGAAACATATTCGGACTAACAACACTCCTAACAATCTTGAATTGGCCCTTTAATCGATGATTCTTTCTGGGTTAATGGGGCTGGAGTATGTGAAAGTATATAGGATTTTAGTAGTGAAACCCAATTGTCAGTTCTGTATTTATTGAGAAACTATCTCATGTACAGTTCCAAGTTTATATCACAGTAACTTAATCACTGTTGGTGTGAGGTGTTGAGTAAGAGTGCCTGTAATACCCGTAGAGGGAGAACGGTAATATACGTCTTCCCTCGAGGGAAGACGGAACCATCCACGATGGCTCTCAATAACGTCTTCCTGTTGTCAAGGATATCAAACTACTGCTGCAAGAAGTGGCCAGAGAGCCGGCTACTTAATACCTTAGCTCAGCACTAAGTGACACGACTTCCCATGGGCACACCTTATCACGTGCTCTAAACATACTACCTCATAGCTAGTGGAAAGTTACAGAGGATGATAGAGTATATAAATCAAATGTAATTAACCCATTTATATAAATACTTCTACCTATAAGACAGAGGCTAGTTCAATTATTTATAACAATATTTCAGATCACTTCCCAGTTTTTGCAATGTATAAAACAGCCACAAGATCTGAAAGTCACAATAAAATACAGAGACTACTGCGCCGACAACATGCTACTTTTTTAAAACAACTTAATGAATGCTAAGTGGGATCTTGTCTATGCCTCCGACAACCCTAACGTGATCTGCTGAAACTTCTCTTGCATATTCAATGCTTGCTTTGACAAATGCTTCCCCCTCATGACTAAGTTAGTAAAAACTGTATCTCCAAACCCTATATTACAAGTGAAATCAAGGCAATGATATAAGAAAAACACAAACGCCAAAGAAAGTTTGCCAACAGACCCATAACTTTCGGTGACGCTTACCGAAGTATCAGAAATAGAGTAAGGGGTACGACCCATCGCTCCTGAGGTAAAGTAAGGTGAGGATTTGGGATAATCTTCTTGATTATCTAGAGTCCACTGATATTATTTCTCATTTTCCCCTCGTTTAGTGATCATTTCACTAAGTGATATGGTTTTCAGGAATGCATCCTGATCACTGAACGAGGGATACCTGTATTTGTTTTGTATCATTCTCACTGAGGAAGATAAAATGCTGAAATGTAAGCTAATAAAACTCCTCTTGCATTCTGTTTTTCCTTACCACCGCAATTGACTCATGCACTGCTTGCTTCCTTTCGCGTTCAGCTACCGCCGCTGGCAAGCCCTTGTGGCGAACAGGAAGCAACTTGTGTAAGTCTTCTACTGCCAGTACACAGCCTCTTACACCATCACGACTGCTGCTGTACCTCCTCGTGGCAACACACGGTAACTGGGTGCCTCGTGGGCCCAGGGTAGACCAGCAGGGGATCTCGGAGCAACAGTGGGCCCCAGACGGCGGCGCATAGGCCTACTAGCATGTGGACACGTCCTGGCACCTAGCAATCACTGCCCCTCTGCCTTGCGGATTAACCTTGGTAGGTATACGGCTGTAACAGCACTTTTGCTTTATACAAATATTAACCCAAATGAATAACACCAAGTTATTCACCAAGTTATTCACAAAGTGATTCACCATGTTATTCAAGATTTTAGATAACTTGGCTTGCATCTCTCTCAACGGTCGAGCCAGAATCAGCTGATTCAGTAAACACTGCTTGCTTGCTACCACTCTCTCATGGCCAAGAGAGGAGCAATCCACTTCATCTCGCTAGACAGGGAAGTTCACACTTAATTTAAGTGTTATCTCAAAGTGTTATTCATAACTCTTCCCTGGAGAAAATTCATAAAATATTTTCTCAGATTATATCTGTGTATATACCTGGTACTTAATAAACAGAAAATGCCAAGAAGTGTTTACATCAAACCCTGCCTCTCAAGGAGTTCCAGAACTTAATTAAAACAATTAGTGTGATACCAAAACAGCTATCACACTTGGTGGCAGTGGAGGGATGAATACTATAAACTAGTTCAGTACCCAAAAACAATAATGAAGAACATAAGAACAAAAGAAAATAAGGAGTCTGCAATAGGCCGATTGTCCTGTGCATGGCAGCTCCTGTCGAGAGTAACAACCACTCTCTATCGTCCATGAAACTATCCAGCCTCCTTTTAAAACTTCCCAGTGTCCCACCACTTACTACGAAGTTGCTAAGCTTGTTCCACTCGTCTACCACCCTATATGTGAACCAGTTTCTTCCTATCTCCCCCCTAAACCGAAACTTATGCAACGAGTCCTATCCTGCTCGAATAATATAAGTACTTTATCTATATCTCCTTTATTGATTGCTTTCACTTAATTAAATAGGTCTATCATATCTCCCTGCACTCTTCATCTTTCTAGGGAATGCAAGTTTAGTTTGTTTAATCTATCTTGATAAGGAAGGTTTCTAAATCCCGGAATCATTATCGTCATTCTTCACTGCACCAACTCCAGTGAATTGCTATCCATTCTATAATAAGGGTACCAGAACTGAAGAGCATAATCAAGGTGCGGCCTGACTAGCGCAAGATATAATTGTAATATGACCTCAGCACCCTTATTACTTACACTTCTAGATATAAAACC